TTTTTTGGTCTTTTTGAGACAGGGTCTCCCAGTAGCCCCAGCTGTAGACCAGGCTGGCCTTGAACTCACAGAGATCTGCCTGCCTTTCCCTCCTGAGTGCTGGGATAAAAGGTGTGTGCCACCATGCCCGGCCTTGGTCTTGAATTTTCAATCCTCCTGATTTAGGCTTCTGAGTAATGACTGATTACAGGTCTGTGCCTCTGGACCTGGTTTTCAAATTAGTGATTGTTAAAGTAACTACAAGCAAGTGAAGGAAGGCTGTGGTGATGCACAGCTTTATTCCCAGCACTCAGGAGGCAGATGTAGGTGGACCTTTGTGACTTTGAGGCCAACCAGGGCTACATAGTGAGAACCTGTCTCAAAAAAACCAAAACAAAACAGTGGAGTAGGACAGATGGCTCAGCAGTTAAGAGCACTGACTGTTCTTGCAGAGGACCCAGGGTCAGTTCCCAGCACCTCCATTGGACAGCTCACAACCACCTGTAATTCCAGCTCCAGTGGGATCTGATTCCTCTGGCCTCCAAGGGCACTGCACTCATGCGCACATACCCACACATAGGTACACACATATCCATATAATTAAGCAGTATAAAAAAAATTTTGAGACAGGGTAGCACTGGCTGACCTGGAACTCCATATGTAGACCAGGCCAGCCTAAAACTCACAGAAACCTGCCTGCCTCTGCCTCCCAAGTACTTAGATTAAAGGCATGTGCCACCATGTCAGGCCCTAAAAGTAAATCTTCAAAAGCAACTGGAGTTAAAAGGTTTATTGGTTACAATATCACCATCATAAAACAAGAGAATTCTTGGAAAGGGCTTAACACAGTATCTACTGGAACAAACAATGGAAGCTAGCTGCCAGTTTGAACTCTCAGTGAAGCGCTGGCAGAAATGTGAAGCAGAGTTAGATATGGTCTAGGAGGGAGGAGAGAGGCAGGTCATCACTAGATAATAGTGTGATCTGTCCTTCAAGAGCCACACCAGCAAGAGGGAGAGGTGGAAGGTTACAGGTTCTCCAGTCACCCTAGTTTTCGGTGTGTGAGCAGGCAACATGGGATGGCAACATGGATTGTCTCAACAATCAAGTTCTCTCTTCCCTGTACAAAGACACTATGAGGAAGTGACTTAACTCTGGTTTCTGTGGTGGTGGTAATGGAGATTCTTCATGAATTCCTGTGTCTAATTCTTATTCCAGTATGGCTCAGGGAGTGGGGATGAGGGAAGGGTAGGGTCCAAAGTAGGAGGTATTTGAGCTGTGGTTCACATGATTCTTGTGTTTCTCCTTACTATTTTCTAGTAAATGAGAAAGCTTCCTTTGAAATGCAGGCTGATTTGTATAAACTAGAGGACCCTAGGAGAGACTGGTATTTGTACGTGGACAAGATAGCACAGAGAAACTCCTCACTTGTAGAAGACATGTGATAGAGGCTGTGGATGTGCATGTGCAAGTGTGTGTGTGTGTGTGTGTGTGTGTGTGTGTAAGGGTAGAATCAGGTCTATAAACCCTCACTCATGTTCCCAGGAGCATCCACAGCTGTGTTTCTGGGTCTCCAGCTGGTTGCTCTCCCGCGGCTGCTAAGGAGGGTCAGGATGTCAGAGCCATTCTACAGAAGATATTGCAAGGTTGTTCCACAGCAGAACTCCATTCCCAACGTTCTTTGGGCAGGGCTCCTGGTGACTCCCTCTCCTGTGCACAGCTGGGAGCAGAGCAGACAGGAAGAGGGCTGGCTTCTGGGGGCACCTACGGAAAGTCAGAGGAGCACAGAGAGTACTGACTGCTTTACAGGCGCCGCACACCTTCCAACAAACCTGACCTACATTACAATCCTCATTCTTCAGAAAAAAAAAAAAATTGAGAGAGTCGAAGGGGATGCAAGTGACACCTGTTGCCATCAGCTGCATCATAGCACTAACCTAACCACGGGCACGCAGAGGAAAACCTGAAATCCCCACAAGCACCTGGGAAGCCTTCTCATCCTAGGCCTTCCTTCCTTTCTGACTCCTTTCTCCCTAGGGGGTGGGATGGGGTGGTCCCTTTGTTTCTGCAGCACAATTCTGCTATTTACTCCTGGGTAAGATAGGCACATTCTCAGGTTACAGCCCTCGAGACTCCTTGCTGGTTTGGGGTTTTTGTTTGCGGCCAGGAACATTTTTCCTCAACACCTTTAAGTCTGTACTCAAATCTCTCTTTCTCAGTGGGGCCTGGAACTCACTATGTGCCACAGGATGGCCCAGAACTCATGGCAATCCTCCTGCCTCAGCCCCCCCAAGTGATGGAATTACAGGTTTGTGCCACTACGCCTGGCTCTTTATTGCTTTTCGAAGCGTTAAGATTTACTCCATTGGTTAGCCTGCCTGCCTTCCCTTCTCCAGCGTAGAAACCCTGCCCAGGCGCAGAGTAGTGCTGTCTTTGCTGTATCTACCCTTGAATAGTCTATGGTACTTGGCGGGTTAAGTACGGGTGAAGGGAGGTGGAAGGAAAGCATGCTGAGACCCAGGATCCAGAGAATGCTTGGGGTTGGAGGGGCGCCAGGAACTACATTTCCCGTGAAGCTCTGCGCGCAGCGCAGCGGGGACTGCTGGGAAGGGCTGACGTGCCCGAAGTCCAGGCCTTGGGCAGCTGCTGGGATGGCGAGTCAGCGAGGTAAGTCGTTGGCTGGGTGTCAGCGAACGTGGTGGTGGCCGCGTCCTGGGGTCTAATCTTGGCATAACCTAGCAGGTCGAGCTCATCCCAGTGGACACCGGGCAGAGAAGGGGACCTGGGATCGGGGTTGCAACCCCGGGGGTCGGAGGGGACTAGCACTCCGGGCTGCCTTTGAAACCTTTGCGACCAAGTGAAGTGGAATGGGTAGTTGGTTCCTCCTCCCTCCCTGAACTCAACTCTTCTCATGGCAGTTAAGATTCGTATCTGCCCATTTTACAGATGGGAGCATCGAGGATTGAGGAAGAGAGGGATGTCACCTAACCACTCATACAATTTTGTGTGCCCATGTTCCTAGTCAGAACCCTCCGCTTGTTCAGGATCCCGGCACTAGGGCCAGGTCTGAGGAGTGGCGTGGAAGCTAACCCTCTATCTGTGTTCCCAGTGTTCCCTCTTTCCTGTGTGGTGCAGCAGTATGCCTGGGGGAAGATGGGCTCCAACAGCGAAGTGGCCTGCCTGCTGGCCAGCAGTGACCCACTAGTTCAGATCTCAGAGGACAAACCATATGCAGAGGTGAGACTAGGGCTGCATATCATCCCATTTTACCCCAACTGAGACCGAAGGACCTGAGTCAAGCTAGATGGACCAGTTGGGAAGAGTCTGGGTAGCGAGAAGAGACCTCCCCCCTTGGCCTTCAGACCAGTGCAAATAATAACACAAGATAGGGCCCAAAAGAGAGACCTAGCTGTAGTCACTGTAGTCACACCACTGAGAGGCTGAGGCAGGAGGATCATGGGGAATTCAAGACAGCCTGGTGGGTGTAACAAGACTCTGTCTCAAAAGAGGAGGGGATCAAAACGTGGAATTTCTAATATCTAGTGCTCTCCTTTCCACAGTTACTCTAAGCACTCACTGATTTTGTTTTGTTTTGTTTCTTTTGAGATTGGCTCATGGATCCCAAGCTGGCTCCTATCTCTAACCAGCTGCAGAGCCATGACTGATGATATCTCTTCTCAGTGTCAGTATTCCTTCCTTCCTTCCTTCCTTCCTTCCTTCCTTCCTTCCTTCCTTCCTTCCTTCCTTCCATCTTCCTCCCTCCCTCCCTCCCTCCCTCATTTCTGTTTTATTGTTTTTTTGTTTTGTTTTGTTTTGTTTTGTCTTTTTGAGACAGGGTCTCCCTGTAGCCCCAGCTGTCCTGGAACTTGCTATGTAGACCAGGCTGGCATCAAACTCACAAAGATCCATCTGCCTCTGCCTCCCAAGTGCTGAGATTAAAGGCGTGTGCCACCACACTTGGCCTCTACTTCCTGAGTGCTGATATTACAGGCATGTACCACCACACTTGGGTTTTTTTGGTACTAGGGTCTCGTGAATGCTAGGCCACATGATGGCTAACACTCTTCTATAATTCCAGTTCCATGGGATCCGACACCCTCTTCTGACCTCTGTTATGTATGTGGCTACATGTGTTTATGACTAAATTCTCCTTTAACTTTTCTTTAAATATGAATGAACTATGCAGAGAGACATGGAGGGAGAATGGGGGGGAGGACAGAGTGGGGGAGACAGGCTGTACTTACATACACATAAAATAAAACTAATAATACTTATAAAATAAAAAGCATAAACAAAAAATAGTCAAAGTAAAACATTTCTTTTGAGGCTAGGACCCAGGTTCAAGTCCCAGCACCCATATGGTGGCTAGCAACCATCCGTAACTCCAGTTCCAGGGGAATCCGATGCCCTCTTCTGACCTCCTCGGGCATTGCACTACATGTGTTCACACACATGCAGGCAATACACTCATACACATAAATACTCATATACATAATTGAACCTGGGTCCTCTGCAAGAGCAGTCAGTGCTCTTAACCCTGAGCCATCTCACCAGCCTAAATAAAATATTTAAAAAAAACACACTTCTGCCAGGTGTGTTGGCGCATGCCTTTAGTCCCAAAACTCGGGAGGCAGAGGCAGGTGGATCTCTGTGAGTTCGAGGCCCGTCTGGTCTACATAGTGAGTTACAGGTCAGCTAGGGCTACAGTGAAACCCTGTCTCAAAAAAAGACCCCCCCCCAGAAAAAAACCCCAAACAAACAACCCCCACATTTCTTTTTAGCCAGGAATGATGGCACATGCCTGTAATCCGGGCATTTAGGAGATAGAGGCAGGAGATTGGGAGTTCAAGGTCATCATCAGCGACATAGCAAGTCTGAGGCATAACTTAGGTCAGGGTAACTAGGGATGTCAGCTGCTTCCTCTCTCAGGTTTCCTTTCTTTCCAGCTGTGGATGGGGACGCACCCCAAGGGGGATGCTAAGATCCTTGACAACCGAATTTCCCAGAAGACCCTAGGCCAGTGGATTGCTGACAACCAGGACTGCTTAGGCTCAAAGGTCAAAGACACCTTTAATGGCAAGCTGCCCTTCCTCTTCAAAGTACTCTCAGTGGAAACAGCCCTGTCTATCCAGGCACACCCTAACAAGGTACAGGATGAGAGGAGTATAGAGGTCAAGGGAGAGAAGGGGTTATGGTGGGCCCACCCATAGCTTTTACTGCTACTTTTTCCCCACCCAGGCTCCAGCCCAGGGTAAATCCAAGTCTGACTGCTCCAAGTTTGGCATCTCAGGGCCAGCTGCTGGTGACATATGCAGAAGCTTAGTCTAACTGGTCAGCTGGCTGGCCTGTGCCGGGGAGCTTCTCCAAGTTCATTGCTGGCTTCCTTTCCCCTAGCCCGGGTCTATTCATATCTCCCATTTCACCACCTGGCTCTCAAGGAGAGTTTAGCTTCCAGGACAGGGCAGGTACCCTAGCTGTACCCCATGGAATCTTCTTGTACAAGGCTCTTTTTTATCGTTAATTTTTTGGAAACAGGTTCTTATGTAGCCTAGGCTAGCTTAAAACTCATTATGTGGGGCTGAGAGATGGCTCAGTGGTCAAGAGCACTGACTGCTCTTGCAGAGGATCTGGGTTCAATTCCCAGCACCCACATAGTGGCTAACAACCGTTCATAACTCCAGTTCTGGGGAAATCCGACATGTTCTTCTGACCTCTGTGGGCATTGCACAACAACGGGTGCACTTACACACATGCAAGCAATACGCTCATTCACATAAAATTAAAAAAACATAATAAAAAAAAAAAAATAAAATTCATTATGTAGCTGAGGATGACCTTAAAGTCCTAGTGCTCCTGTCTCCACCTCTGAAAGTCACACAGCTTGTGTCAGGGCTTAACCTGTTGTTGTTTGGTTCTCCTGATTCACAGGCCAGGCCTCTTAAAGTCTGCCCCAGCTCTCCCCTAGCTTTGGCCCATTTCCCTACCCTGGATGGGCTGAACCTCGTTTCTGCATGATGCCATGACTGGATTCATTGCCAGAAGTAGGAAGCTACTGTCACCTGGCAACCGGGGAGGGTAGAGAACAGGGACTGGTGGGACTGGCATTCCTGTTGGGTGACAGCTGTACCCCAACCATCATCGTCCACTGCCCACCCACAGGAGCTGGCAGAGAAGCTGCACCTCCAGGCTCCACAGCACTATCCCGATGCCAACCACAAGCCAGAGATGGCTATTGCCCTCACCTCCTTCCAGGGCTTGTGTGGTTTCCGGCCAGTTGAAGAGATTGTGACCTTTCTGAAGAGTAAGGTTGGACAGAATGCTGAGGGCATATGTGTTGGGCATGGGATATATGAGGAACCTTGACCAGAGGGGTAGCAGATACAGAAGACAGAGGCTGAACATCCCAGGAACTCAGTGAAGCCGCTTTGCAGTCAATGGGCCAGATAAGAGAGACCACACTCAGGTGTGGTTGCTGAAGGCTGGTGATGTGCAGTGGTTAGCACTACAGGGTTTGGTTAGCGCTGCTGGGTCCTTGGTTAGGAATGGGGTGGGAGGTCCTCACTTCCTAGTGCTCTTATGTTCCCTGACATGGCCTCTTTCCTTGGCCTTCCTACAGAGGTGCCTGAGTTCCAGTCCCTGATTGGAGATGATGCCACAGCACAGCTGAGGCAGAGCATGAACGGGGACTCCCAGGCTGTGGCCTCTGCTCTGCAGAGCTGCTTTTCTCATCTGATGAAGAGTGAGAAGAAGTTGGTGGTGGAACAACTTAACCTATTGGTGAAGCGAATCTCCCAACAAGGTGGGTACCGTGTTCTAGCCTGGGCTCCTGACATGGACATGTGGCCATGGGAACAGGATTCTCAACCTTTTTGCCCAAGTGGAACACTAAAAGGGCTCAACTTAGATGGCCTGTTGTGTTGGCTACTACCATTCCTTCCCCAGATATTGTGGAGTGAGGCCCTGGCTTATGGGGGCTTCTTGACTGATTTTCTCAGGATTGCTGGAAGCAGACTAGCTCAAGGGAGCACTCTACCAATACTTCCCACCCAGGCATTCTGAGATTCTCTCTGGCCCTCCAGCTGTTCCCCATGAGACAGACTTGTATTTAGAAGAGCAGGACAGGACCAAGGGCTCATCCCTCTCTAGTGGTCTTAAGCTTAGTGTTTTTGTTGTTGTGTTTGAAGATAGCATCTCTCTTATAGCCCCACCTGGCCTGGAATTGGCTATGTAGACCAGGCTGGCCTTGATTTCACAGAGATCTGCTTGCCTCTGCCTCCCGAATGCTAGGACTAAAGGCATGTGTCACCATGCCCTTATACCTAGTGCTCTTAATCGTTGGTTCTTCTTTAAATATCTCCTAGGTGCCCAAGCTTCTGCTAACAGAGTTCATGAAATGACCATGATAGATGTAGTCATCTCACCAGGTTGAGGAGTCAGTATAAACAAGGCAGACTGATTCAGCCACTATGTCACTATGTCACTATGTGGCAGCTGATGAAGTCTTAGCTCCTTAGCCTGCTAGGGCAGCCCTCCTCCAGGAAGTCCCAGAACTCCCTTCTGGCTTTATTTCTTTGTAAATCCCTGCTGTGTTACCTTTGAGCCACAGGAACTTTTTCTTTTACCTAAGCATACCCTTTTGTTCTGGTGGGGTGGTGGTGATTTTGAGTGTTTTCTCTGCTTGCTCTTGCAACAGAACCCTTCTCTGAGCTCTGTTCTGACATCCAGATACATAGGAACCCTTTAGCACCAGGTGCTCCAGGTCAGGGCCTGTGTCTGACCTTCATGATGGTCTTAGTGTTTACCAGAGTAGCCATTGACTAAGTTTCCGTATGGAGACTCAAATCCACCCTCCCACCCAGAATACTGGGTTCTTCATTGTGGTACCTACATATTCTGAATGTCCCGCGCTATCGTCTCGCCAGCAAGAACGACGCGGCACACTCAGGATCCTTCTGCAGAAAAGCTTTAATGCATCTTGAGAGGGAGAGCATAAGCTTACAGGGCGAAGACCCCGAATGTCGGAAACCCAGCCCTTATATAGGTTAGTAAGCCCGTCTTGGATGTGGCAACTCTTGATTGGTCGCAAACTCATCAGCCCATATCACGCCACGAGGTAGGCAGAGACTAGAAGGTGGAAAATTACTTCGGGCATGCGTACTGACTTATTTACTGCTCAGCATGAACCGGATGTGAGCGCCATCTTGTAATGGCGTCTGCAGGGACGGCAGGCGGCTCCCCACATCTGAATACCCTTCTCCCTTCTCTGCGTGCCCCAGGAAACCTAGCTCACCTGCCCCTGTGCCTTTGTTATGGGGTGCTTCACCAGAGAAGACCACTTAAAGTTTGCTGAATGAAAGTCATTACTGGCCAGGGCTACTACACAAGGGTGTTGGGACCCAAGTGTGTAGCACCAAGCCATCTCTAGGGTAAGCTTTTATACAGAGAAACCGTAACCAGGGGTGAAAAGTTTAAGTCCCCAAGCTTACAAGCCAAGAGCTCCTTTAACAACTTCTATTCTATTAAGTAACAATTACTATTTTGCAGAAGCAAGCCAAGCATAACCTAGAGAAGCCATAAATCTGCAGTTAGCAGGTGTACTTTGGGACATTCTGACCTGTTCCCAAGACAACTGGGGTCCAGTTGACATGTGTTCCCATACCCTGGGCCAACTGCCTGATAGTTTCAGAGACTAGAGTCAGCCTAAACTTTAACATGGCATAGCTATGGTCAAGAAGGTGCCCTATTACATCCTCCCCTTTCAAGACGCTCCCTCACCTCTCCAGCCCAGGCTGAGTTCATCTTCCCTTGGTCAGTCTCCAGGGTACAGCTTGGTCCCTGTACATGGTACCTTGTGCTGTCTGAGACAGTCATTCTATTTTGCCTGAGATGGACAGATTTCCTGACACATGATTCTCAAGTGCTAAGAAAAGGAAAAAGGAAAACCTTTGTTAATGGGGGAGTTTGTCACCCTTTATGAACTTTTGGATTACCACCCCCCCAGCTGTAATAGATTTTGGGCTCAAGAGCAGTAGTTTTTTTGTTTGTTTGTTTGTTTTTTTTGAGATAGGGTCTCCCTGCAGCCCCAGCTGGCCTGAAACTCGCTATGTAGACCAGGCTGGCCTTGTACTCACAGAGATCCTTCTGCCTCTGCCTCTACCTCTTGCGTGCTGGGATCAAAGGCATGGGCCACTACGCCCAGCAAGAGCAGTGGTTCTTAACCAGAAGACTTTTAAATTAATTTATTATTATTATTATTATTATTATTATTATTATTATTATTATTTGTCTGTTTTGTTTGGTCTTTTTGGGACAGCTGGCCTGAAACTCATATGTAGACCAGCCTGGCCTTGAACTCACAGAGATTTGCTTGCCTCTGCCTCCCAGTGAGTGCTGGGGTTAAAGGCGTACACCACCATGCCCAGCTTGTTTTTGTTTTTCTGAGACAGGATCTTCCTGTAGCCCTAGCTGGTTGGAACTTGCCATGTAGACCATGCTGGTGTCAGATCTCACAGAGATTTGCCTGCTTCTGCCTCCTGAGTGCTGGGATCAAAGTCATGGGCCACCATGCCCAGCTATTTTTTATTTTTTGGTGATTGTCTAGAGAGATTTTGTTTAAACCTGGACTGAAGATGGTACTGGTATGTTTCCATTTTAAATATTTCTCATATAATTTTCTTTTTTTCCCCTTTGAGACAAGGTTTCTGGTAGCCTAGGCTGCCCTTAAGTTTGTTGTGTAGCCAAAAATAGCTTTAAAATTCTGATCCTCCTTGCATCTACTTCCTGAGTGCTGGGCTTATAGGCCCGTGCTACCTACCATGCCTGGTTTTCTGTGGGCTGAGGATAGATCCTCTAGGGTTTCATGCATGCTAGGCAAACATTGCCAGCCTAGCTACATCCCCAGTCTGTTTGGTTTTATTTTTTGTCTTTTTGAGACAGGGTCTCCTTGTAGCCCCAGCTGGCCTAGAACTCACTATATAGACCAGGCTGGCCTTGAACTCACAGAGATCCACCTGCCTCTGCCTCCTGAGTGCTGGGATCAAAGGCATGTGCCACCACGCCCGGCTATGTTTTGTTTTTTTGAAACTGGGTCATACTCTGCAACCCAGGCTGTAATGGAATTCAGTAGTAGCTTAGTCTGGTCTTGAACTCATGGTGATCCTTCTACCTCAGTTCTGGGATTATAGGTTTTATCCATGATACTCAGCTGCTAATGGTTCTTGTAGAGTCCAAGGATGCTACTAAGCATCTGGCAACTCATGTGATAACACACAGGGTGGCTTCTATGACACAGAATTATCTGGGCCAAAATGCTAGGAGTGAGACTGCAGAGATGACTCAGTGATTAGGAGCACTGGGTTTGGTTTTCAGCACCTATATGGTGCTAACAACTGTCTAGTTCCAGGGGATCTGACACCCTCTTCTGGCCTTTCCCAGTACTGCACATACATGGTGGACTTACATACAAGCAGGCATAACACTCACACATATTAAAAATTTGCCAGGTGTGGTGGTGCACACCTTTAATCCCAGCACTTGAAAGGCAGAGGCAGGTGGATCTTTGTGAGTTGGAGGCCAGCCTGGTCTACATAGTGAGTTCCGGGACAGCTGGAACTCAAAGCTGTATACAGCCATCTCAAAAAGACAAAAAAAAGAAAACATTAAATAAGAAAAATAAAACAAAATGCCAATAGTGCTGAGGCCAAAAAATCATGTCATGAAAGGACCACATTAGCCTTTTCAGAGGCTAGGGTAGGCCAGGCATGCAGATGGTCAAGGTGAGAGATGACATCTGTGTGGGCAAGAGGACTAAGGAGGGCTAGCTCTCAAAGGGGAGGAGGTGGCTAGGAGAGGCCTGGTATATCATCTGCATTGGTGTGGGCAGGGACTAGCCCCCAAAACTCTTGTCAGGGTAAGGCTGTGAATACCAAGTATGCCTGAGTGACCTTGGGGTGCTCTGTGACCCTCAGCATCTGCTGGAAACAGCATGGAGGACACTTGTGGCGAGCTCTTGCTGCGACTGCACCAGCAGTATCCTGGTGATATTGGATGTTTTGCCATCTACCTCCTGAACCTGATAACCTTAAAGCCTGGGGAAGCCATGTTTCTGGAAGCCAATGTACCTCATGCCTATCTGAAGGGAGGTGAGCCCCATTTCAGTGGTGAGCCCCACTGCTGTCCCCCTTGGACCTTTCTCCCCTAAGTGGATGAAAGAGAGGGTAGGTGGGGAGGCCTTCTCAGAGCACCAGCCAGTCTCTGACCTCTGAGAATGGCTGGGTCAGCCAGCAGGGATAATGGCTGCCCCTGGTGGGGGACACTGCTTATAGTTTGGTCTAGCCTCTGGTTCTTATGCTAAGCTTAAGAGTGTGGAAACCCCAGTTTGAACACAAGCCACACTGGACAAAGCTGCTGTCCTCTTCCTTTTCTCACTTACCTTTGCTAAAATATGGGCGTGGCCACAAAAGGATGTTCCTTTTGTACATGCCCATACATGTGTGGACGTGTATGCAAATTTGTGTGTGTGTGAATGCAGGCTTGCATGTGCTATAGCACACATGTGGAGGTCAGAGGACAACCTGGGGTGTTGGTCCTTGTTTCTACCTTGTTTAAGACGGGATCTTAGGTGGCTGGAGAGATGGCTCAGCGGTTAAGAACACTGGTTGTTCTTGCAGAAGACCCGGGTTCGAATCCCAGCACCCACGTGGCAGCTAACAACTATCTGTAACTCCAGTCCCAGGGGATCCGACAGCCTCTTCTGACCTCCGTGGGCATTGCACGACACAGGTGCACTTACCTTCATGCAGGCAATACACTCATACATATAAAATAAAAAATTAATTAAAAAAAAAAAAAAAAAAAGACAGGGTCTTTTGCTGTTTGTGCTGCATATTCGAGGCAGCTGGCCCCATGAACTTCCAGGGATTCTCCTGTCCCTGTTTCCCATTTCTTTATAGAAGACCTAAGATTACAGTCATGCTCGGAACCCAGCTTTTTCATGGATTTTGGGCATCTGAATTTAGGTCCTCATGCAAGCATTTTTACCTATTGAGCCATCTTCTCACCCCTCATCCCCCTTTCTTCTGTTGTCATTTTAAGACAAGCTCTCACTCCACAGCCCACACTGGCCTCAAACTCGGCCATCGTCTTCAGCTTCCTTTCTGGTGTTTTTGAGACACAGTCTCCCTGTAGCCCCAGTTAGCCTGGAACTTACCTATGTAGACCAGGCTGTCTTTGAACTCCCAGAGATCCGTCTGCCTCTGCCTCCTGAGTTCTGGAATTTCAGGTGTGTACCACCATGCCCAGCTCTACTTCAGTTTCTTAAGTGCCCAGCTGATGTCCCATTTTGACAGTTGGCAGTTTATCCATTCAGCACAGGATTCTGTTGTAGAAGTGGCAGACCAGGCCTGGAGAGATGGCTGAGTGTTTAAGAGCACTGGCTGCTCTTGCAGAAGATCTGGGTTTGGTTCCCAGCACCCACATATTAGCTAACCGACACCCTCTTCTGGCCTCCATGGGTACTGTATGAATGTGGTACACTTAACATACATGCAAGTAAAACACTCATACACATAAAATACAAATAAAAAATTTTTGAAGTCGCAGACAAGTCAGGTTTCTTCCCCTACCGCCTACCCCCTACCCCAGAGTTAGCATACCTTTCTGCTTTTGGTATCTGGTATCTTAGTTGTGTTCTTCCAGAATGTTATTCACACATTTTTACCCAACTCTGCAGGGCATTCATGTGCCCTAGGTTAGGAGGCCCAGCCCTGGAGAGCCAAGGCATACTTCATCATCTTAGCACATGACAACTATCTATCCTCAGACTGTGTGGAATGCATGGCATGTTCGGACAACACAGTACGTGCTGGCTTGACACCCAAGTTCATCGATGTGCCAACTCTGTGTGAAATGCTCAGCTACACACCCACCCCCAGCAAAGCCAGGCTGTTCACACCGACACAGAGTCAGGATGACCCATACCTCTCCATCTATGATCCCCCTGTACCAGACTTCACTGTTATGAAGATGGAGGTGAGTAGGTGGGCTTGGTGGGTGTCCTTTGTGTGGCATGACAAATCTGCAAGGGCTTGGTTTCCTCTGTCAAGTTTACCTGGTGGGAACATCCACAGGGCACATTTACTTCTCTGCCAGGGACCAGATGTGGGCCTCTATGGTGGCAAGAGCCTGAACTGTGGGAGAGGAGGCAGCAAGGGGCCTTGAGGTGGTCTAGAACCCAAGAGCTATACTGTCCTGTCACTTCTTTCTGCCCAGGTCCCTGGCTCCATCACTGAATACAAGGTCTTGGTACTAGACTCTGCCAGCATCCTTCTGATTGTGCAAGGGACAGTGACAGCTACCACACCCACTGTCCAGGCTGCAATTCCCCTGCAGCGTGGTGGGGTGCTCTTCATTGGGGCCAATGAGAGTGTCTCGCTGAAGCCTACCATGCCCAAGGACCTGCTGATATTCCGGGCCTGCTGTCTGCTGTAGAGACCACAGCCTTCCCTGTTCCCTGGCCAGTCAGCTCTGTCCTCCAGCCCCTCTTCTCAGGCCGAGCCCAAGCCCCTTGTAGAATTTGGGTGCACTCTAGTAGAGTACAAGTAGTGTTTGGTGTAATTCCAGAGCAGGCTCAGGCAGAAGCAGCCTCAGGATGAGGGGCCTGTGTGAAGACTGAGGCCTGCCACTCCATTTGTATTCTCTCAACACTCCTTGCTACCTCAGAGCCAGACCTGTGTCCACTCGGGAGACAGCAGCTCTGTTCTAGCTAAGGCATTAATTAGGCTGTCTGACATAAAGTAACCCAGCATTAGCTCAGCATCTATCTGAGTGACAGGCGAGGTAATGTTGAAGAACAGGATTCCTGCTCTGGGACTGCCTGCTTGCTCAGCTGCAGAGAAGAAAAGGAAAAGGGTAGGCCTGTGGACAAAAGCAGCTTCCTCCCTCTAGCTCTGTCAAACTAATTAAAGATTCTTATGTTGAGGCTACAGGGTAAAGAGCAGTCAAGTCTAGTATTCCTGTCCCTGATGTGGGCGGAAAGAGCGCTCTGGATGTTGTCCAATTTTTCTTTTAGCCATGCTTCGTACAGCTTCTTGGGAGTGGGCAGGCTGGATTTCAGAACTTATAGGAAGGAGTGGGAGAGGAAGCCAGCTTCAGCCTCAGATGCACAGCTTGCAGGCAGGCCTTAGGCCTTGCTTATATTTTTACTTTGAGATAGGGTCTCTCTGTAGTACCAATTGTCATGGAACTTGCTATGTAGACAGGCAGGCCTGCCTCTGTCTCCCAAGTACAGGGATTAAAGGTGTACAGTATCAAGCCTGGCTTTTTTTACTTAAAAAAAAAAAAAAAAGATTTATTATTATTTTGGCTTTTTGAGACCTCATAGCCCCAGCTGACCTGGAACTTGTTATGTAGAACAGGCTGGCCTCCATCCCACAGAGATCATACCTCTGCCTTCCAAGTACTAGGATTAAAGACATACGCCACCACACTCAGCCCTATTTTTAAAAAAAATTTTGTGTGAATGTATCACCTGCATGTAAGTAAGTTCACCCATGTATGCAATGCCCTCAGAGATCAGAAGAGGGTGTCAGATGTCAGATCCCCGGAACAGTTGTTATGGATGGTTGTTTGCCTCCATGTGGGTGCTGGGAATTGAACCTGGATCCTCTGCAAGAGCAGCCAGTGCTCTTAACCTGAGCCATCTCTTTAGCCCCACTCTTTTTATTATTTTTAGTTATGTTGGGGGGGGTGGCGCACATGCAGGTGCCTGCAGAGATCAGAGGCATTGTGTCCCTCTGGAGTTGGAGTTACAGGCAGTTATGAGCTATCAGATACAGGTTCTGTGCACCAAACTCCAAAGAGCAATACCTGCTCTTTAGTCTTTTTGACAGGGTTTCCCTGAAGCCCCAGCTAGCCTGGAACTCACTATCAGGCTGGCCTTGAACTCACGAAGATCCACCTGCCTCTTGAGCATTTCCACCTCCCCCTAACTTCTTAAAAACTTTTCTGATACAGTCTTGGCATGTAGCATAGACTGGCTTTGAACTTATGTTCCTCCTGCCTTAGCCTATGGCTTGTGTGTATGTATGTGTATGTGTGTGTTCATGTGTATGCATGTGCGTGGAGTCTAGAGGAAAACCTCGGGATCCACCTTTTTTTTTTTTGTTTGAGACAAGGTCTCTCACTGGCTCAGAACACACCAATTCAGCTAGGCTGATAACAAGCCCTTAGCATCTTCCTCTCTCTGCCTCTCCAGCACTGGGATTACAGGTATGCATCACTGTGCCCAGCTTCCTATGTGGGTGCCAGGGGTCTGGGACTCAGGCCCCCATGCTTACATAGCATTTCACTGAGCCATCTCTCCAGCCTGTTTGTTGTATTTTTGAGAGGTTCTCATGTACCTCAGATTGGTGTTGAAACTATGTATTGAAGACCGATGATGAACTCCTCTGCCTAACAAATGCTGGGATCACAGATGTGTGCCACCATACCTGGCTCTCCTAGTTTTCTAATGGTCCTATAGCAGAGGTCTGCAAACTGCTGCTGGCAGGGTAGATCTGAGCATGCTCACTCATTGTTTGGCTGCTTTCAGGCCTCATATGATGGTAGAGTCAAGTAGTGACTGTATGCCAGACTGCAAGGCCTACAAGGGTTGTATCTTTGTTACTTTTAGTGTGTGTGTGTGTGTGTGTGTGTGTGTGCGTGCATGTCACAGTGCTCCTGTGGAGCTCGGGATGATTAGTTGTGAGTTGGTTCTTTCCTTCTACCATTTGGGTCCTGAGCCAGCTTTAAAAATTAAAAAAAAAAAATTTTTTTGGTGCTGGCATCAAACCTAAGGCCTTATGCATGCTAGGCATGTTTCTATCACTGAAATATATCCCAGTCAGTCCAAGCTGAAAGTACTGGCTGTCTGTCCATTCACAGAAAAATACTATCAAGTCCTTCCTTAAACACTGTCTTTGTAGATTACAGGGACTCAAGGACAGAGCAATCCTGTTTTCACTGTGAAATGATCAGAGACCTTTCCTAAGCTGCCAAAGTATAAGGAGGGAGGACATCTGCTTTCTTTGGGCTCACTGCAAGGTGGGACACCTCTGTAAGAGTCTGTAGGTTTCTGATTTGTAGCAGTCATAAACCCTGTCACTCCAGACAGCAATCATTAGAGGCCACTGGTTCCTCCTTTGTGTGGGATTAAGGTTTAAATTCATAGACAAGAATGTTTCTGGACTCCTGCCCACACTGACCCCTGTATAAAGGAGTTAAAGGAAACCATCTTAAAATGTTTAAATTTTTCTGAGTGTTTCATGTAGCTCCTGCTGGCCTCAAACTCACTAGTTGAATACATTTAACTTCTGATCCTCCTGCATCCACCTCCCAAATACCAGGATTACAAGCATGTACCATTACTTCCACTTTCATATAGTGCTAAGGAATGAACCCTGAACCTAGGGCTTTGTATATGCTAGATAAGCACTTAACCAGTTGAGCTACATCCCGATCCCTAGGTGTTTTTGAGACAGGGTCTTATGTATCTCAGGCTGGTCTTGAAAGTGCTATGTAGCTGAGGATGAACTTGAACTTATGATTTTCCTGCCTCCATCTCCCAAGTGCTAGTTACAAGTATGTACCACCATGCCTAGCTTTTATTGCAGAAATGCTTTGGCTTAAAAAAACTAAGAGGTTGAGGGTGGAGGGCTGGAGAGATAGCTCAGCAGTTAAGAGCTATCTCTTAACTCTGCTGCTCTTGCAGAAGACCCAGGTTTGAGTCTCAGCACCCACATGGAGGCTAACAACCATCCATAACTCCAGTTCCAGAGGGATCCAATGCCTTCTTCTGGCCTCCTTGGGTATTGCATGACATTGGTGCACTACATACATATAGGCAATATACTCATACCCAAAAAATAAAACATGGTGGCCACGCCTTTAATTCCAGCAGGCGGATCTGAGTTCAAGGCTAGCCTGGTCTACATAGTGAGTTCCAGGACAGCTGGGGCTACAGGGAGACCCTGTCTCAAAAAGAACAAAAATAAATAAAAATTAAAAAATTTTAAAAATAAGACCTAGGGCCTGAGAGATGGTTCACTGAATCAAAGTGCTTGTCATCAAGCCTGACAACCTGAATTTGATCCCTGGGACTTACACGGTAAAAGGACAGCCAGGCCTTGTGACATATGCCTTTAATCCCAGCACTCAGGAGGCAGAGGCAGGCAGATCTCTGTGAGTTCAAGGCCAGCCTGGTCTACATAGTGAATTCTAGGCCAGCTGGGGCTACAGGGAGCCCTTGTCTCAAAAAGACCAAAAAAAAAAGATCCCAAAGAAAAGTGACCAGTTTCTTTCTAGGTTAAAAGCCAAAAATGTCCCAGATGGCTGGAATTCAAACAGGACTGATCAGCTCAGCTCTCCCCCTTCCTCCATTCCCTGAACCACTCAAGGGTGCCTACTCCCAGGGACCCTCCTCGGTACAGGACCTCTGCCTTCCTTCTAGCTCCTAGGGATTTCACAGAGACCGTGCCAAAAAAAATAGAGGTACAAGCCCAGAGGGCTGTGGAGCAGAGTGTAAACACCAGGTGGAACCAGTCCTGTGAGGAAGCCCAGATGCACCCCCTTCCCAGGGACTGTCTATTGCAGAACACTCAGCACTCTGAATTAAGGCAGTTTGGAGGTGGGTACCTTGGTGCCTATGTTGGTGGTATTTTGGTTTGGCCCCTAATAACTGACCATCTTTATCTTCATGGCCTTATTGGACACTCCCCTGTTCCAGATCCCCAGAGTTTTCCCCACAAAGTAAAACTCTTCTACACAGGGACAGTTCTGGAACTTCCACTCCATGGACAGTTCCAGCCAGGTACCTCAGTGTTGAACACAGCAACAGCTATCCAGAGGGTGTGGTTTGGGGGTAATATCACCCCTTCACTCTAGCAGCTACCAAATGCCCAGGTTATTCTGTCCTAACCAAATCTCTTAACAGAAATGTGGTTCCACACTTAGCTTCCACAACCACCTCTGGCCCCACCAAGTCCCTACCACCAAATCTTTTTCTACAGTGTTCCCTTTCTACAGGTGCTCTTTGCCTGTGCAGAATTCTGGAAGGCTGAACCCTGGTTTATGATGGGTACGGGAGATGTACAAAGTGCTCAGAATGTTGGGTACTGTGTAGAGTTGCAGAGTCCCACTGCAGAACAGAGTAAGCATCTATCGCCTTGACCCTAGAACCCAAGCAGATGTTCCTCTGGTTGGTCTCATCACCTCTCTATGATGCAGCTAGGTAGCTAAGCTGGCAAATAACAAATAAGGCCATATCTTTTGATTTTACTTATTTTTAGTAACCTTGCAGAAGGGCCAAAGAGTCTATACCACCCCTCCTAGGCCTCTAGTGGTCCCAGGACATTGCACGAAGCAAGAGACTGAGTATTCCCACATTGGGGCCAACCCTCTAATCCCAATTACTGTGTCCTTTACGCTGGGAACCCTGTCCACCCCACCCAAGTCTCACCATGTTCCTGGGTAAGGTAAAGAAAAGGTGGGTGAGAGGGCACTGGAAAATTAAATTTCACAACACTTAATAAAGCAAGAGAAATTTTCCAGAGGGGAGATCACAGGAGAAATTATGCTTGTGTTCAGGCTGAGAGACAAGGCTATGCTCACCCAGAGGTCTGTTGTAAAGCCCAACCCTTGGTTCTGGTAGGTTTTTTCTTTTTGTTTTCAGAGATGGGACTTGAATCCAGGGCCTTGCACACACTAGGCAAATGCGCTACTAGAGCTACACCTCCTGCCTGCGAGCCTTGTGCTGGGGCAGAATACCAGATCATAGAAATGAGCAGTGCTAGAAGAGGGGAGGCTCCCTGCATGGTAGATTCATCTGTCTCTTCAGGTGGGGTCTAGGAGTGAGCTTAGGTCTCTCCCCATCCTGAGAGCTTCTACTGGCCAAAAACCACACTGGTACACCAGGACAACATGTCTTACACACTGCTACTTGTCAAAGTTTAAAAAGCTAAACAGGAAGGCATAGACTGCCCAGCAGCTCCCTCTGCTGGTCATCACAAAAACAGGTTTCTGGTACCAGCCCCAATTACCTAACTCAAACCAACCTCTATCTCAAAAACAGGGTGGAGAAGCTAGCCAAGACCAAGGAACTACAAATAAATAAATATGTACATGATAGAGCAGTTTTTCTTTAACTAAGGAAGGGCTGGCCAGTGTTACTAAACTCACCTAGATGACTGAGCATGTCCCAAGTCCAGAGATTCTGAAAGCTATGATCCTGCTACTTCATTCAATAACCCATGAGATTCCCCGCCATAACTAGACAGAGGTAATTTGAAGCGACTACCGACCTTTGAGCCATCTCTCCAGCCCCTTGACTTTGTGCTCTCTTGAGCTCAAACCACCCTCAGAACTGGGGATGAGAAAAGCATATGGAATTTTTTGACTGGTTCTAGTCACATTCTTTTTCAGATTCCTAGTTGCAAGTTATAAAGTGCCTTATGCCTCCCACACCATCCAGCACAGCCTGGGCAAAGGAGCTTTCTTTTTCCCCTTCCTTAGAACACTGTGACAAACACCAGTCAGGATGCCTTCAAGTGGTTTTCATAGCCACCTGTCAGCCACCAGAAGAGTATACAATGTCTCTACTCCTGCCCTAAGTGGCTTCTTGAAACTGTTCGACCAAGAGAGAAGAACTTCAGTATTCCACCTATGACCCAGATGGGAGCCTCTGACCTGAGAAGCATCAGCTGAGGGGGCTGCTTGTAGGTCACTGACCTACCCAAAGGGTCAGTGCCTCCAGTGATTCTGGGCTGGCAGCAGTGCCCATTGTACTGAGCTATGAAGGGCCAGGAGGGCTCTATAAGCCTCATGGTGAGCAGGGCCCATCTTGAAAGGTTATGTCTATTGGAGGGTGCAGGAAGAGTCCCCAAGACAGCACCAGCAGCAGGAGCATGTGGAAGAGGCCATAGGTTTAGGAGGAATGAGGTCCAGGTCCTCATCATCTGGAATCTCATCCAGGTGATATCCATCCTGTAGCAGCTGCCGGCTCACATCCTGGTTCACCTGCTAAAAGGAGGAGAGGAGAGAGCCATAAGCCAGATGGAAAGCACATGAAACTGCTGCTCAAAAGGCAAGTCCCTATTACTACACCTGAGCTTCCTGTCCCTGCTCTACCCCCAGGCCACTCCACATCCTGGACTACAGGAGGAAGAATCACCATTTCCCTGCTGTGCCTTCCCAGCAGTGAGGGGCTCCCAGGAACCTAAGTGAGTACTGTTCAGTCCTCACATTGAAAATCACTGTGCTGACCCTTCCCACTGGAAACCCAGATGTCTCTGACAAGACTGAAGAATACGGGACAATAACTACAGAAAAAAGGCTAGAGTGGCAGAGGCATATAGTGTACAGTGCAAGGGGGAACAGCTGCAAAGTCAAACAGCCTGGTTTTGCCAGTTTACTGCCAGACAGAAAGTACATGAGGCTGGGAAAATTTAAGATGTCTGATTCTTGGCAGAGTTTTCTTAATTTTAACAATCTCAGTCTCTTAGACATGCAAAGAAGATGTTATGTACACTGTTTTCTCTTTTACAACTCAGAAGTTAGTCAAAGATTTCTAGGAGAATAAGGAAGAAATACCTAGTACAGTCATGTCCCCACCACTTCAGTTCCTTTGATCTGGCACATGTTACTATGCCTGAGAATTTTATGTCCCCCTATTTCTGATTGAGACAGTAATTCTGGAAAGATGTCTTAAAGGCCAGCCAGGAGATGTATCTCAGTCTGAGTTCCCAGAGATGGATCAACTGAAGGAATGGAAGTTGTTTGTTAGGCCTGGAAGAAAGCAGGCTCAGTGGAAGATGGGTGGGGGAGGGTTGAATGTTGACCTCAGAGAAAGAACACTCAAAAGGGAGACTAGAGTTACTGTAAAATTGAAAGGCAGACCTAGGACCAGTGGGTCCAGGCTGCAGGAAAACATTTCAGATTAACAAGGAAGACATCGAAAAGCTACCAAAGAAGGGGTTGTATATGTGTTGGGGGAGGACAGCAAGAAATGCTCCTTGGATATAGTGAGTATCCAATTATAAGAAGCACTCCAGCAAGCAGAAGCTAGTAAATATTTAGCAGAGATCAAAAGGATCCTGTTTCTACGTCGTTTCCAGCACTAAGGATATATAGTCTGGATTTTCAACAGCCCTCCTAAGATGCCTATACCTCAGCTAAGGGAAGAGGGCAGAGTGGAAGATTAGAGAACAGACTGGAAGTCTGGCAGTGCTGTGCACACAGCAGGCATCAAACAAGCATCTGGCAGTGGTGGTGATGCTGTCTGCAGCCTGGCACTGCACAGAAAGGCGTTCTGGACTTGCCTCTGCAGAGGAATACCCGGAGGAGTATCTGGATTCCAGCTCCCCATCACTAGGAGAAGAGGAAGACAATCAGTTCAGGGGACGTCTGTGGAGCACCAGTGCAAATGGCAAGGGGGAGAGCATGCAAGGGGGTCTGAAGGACTTGTGAAACAAAGACCACACACCAAGCCCAGAATCTGCAAGTGAGTGCAACTGTTTCCCTCAGCTGACTCCAGCAGAAACGGGATCATTCTCACTAATAGTGCAGACACAACAGGACAGGATGACTCCTCCAGGTTACCTATGAGTCTTCCAACCAAGTCATCCTGGGAAGGAATAGCACTCAGAAGAGGAACAGCCCTGAAATGGGCTTGAAGGGCCTCAGAGGAGAAAGGACCAAGCAAAGGCACCCAACAAAAAACAATAAGCAGTGCTATCCAAGCTACTCCCCAACGGATATTTCCAAGGGAAGCACTCACCTGTCAGAATCAAGGGACACCAGGTTTTCATCTGGACTCTGGCTAAGAGCAGTATAGCCTTTGTTAAACTTCACTGACCTGAGGGAGATGGGGAAGAGAAAGATCAGGTATTTCACAGGGAAAGCCAGAGTCCTCACCCTTATGGAGAAAGGACTGGACTATTCCAGACTCCCTTCTACCTGGTCATACAGCCATCACAGCCTGCAGCTTTATGCATGGAGCTCCAGCTCCTCAGATTATGTAGTGGCCCACAACACTCCCCTCAAAGCTCCTGGGAAAAGCACACAAAGCAGCTCCCCTCTGCCTTGTTTAACCAGAGGACCTTGGGAAAATCCCTTCACCTCTGGGTTTCAGTATTCAGCTGTAAAAGGTCACAGGGCTTAAGGGCCTATCTAGCTGAGTGCTTACCATTCTGTTAAAAATACAAGAACACTGCACTGGCTAATCTCATAGGGCTCTCCATCACCACTCCTGGGACCCTAGTCACCCTCTCTTCCCTTAATGAATGATCTTATCTCTGCACTGATAGCACTCGTTTATTGTAAAGTCTTTTTCTGTCATACTATTACAGCCTTGAAGAGAGTAGGTAGTTCGCCTTCCCATTTTTACGATAGTGAACCTGACAGCTGCCCGTAAGAGAACAGCTCAGCCTTAAACTTGAGTGCCCTGTTTCCCAGGCAGAGGGGCTAAGGCCTTCGGAAGCTGCTGGCACAGAGACGAACCCACTGAGACCTTTTTCCTGAAGAGTTGGGGCGGTTCGGCAAGGCCCCCAGCATGCCCTTTCTCCGCAGAACGGCCTTGGCCAGGTCCCGGTGCTTCTCTGGAAGTCAAAGGGCCCTGGGTCAGCCCAATCTTCCCCATTCCACTGTGTTTCCCCCAACACCCGGAGGCCGCTGCCTCCTAACGGATTTGGAGGGGGACGAGAGGAGCTGTACCTGAACACCTTCCCTCTGGGGGCAAGATCACGGAGCTCGGGGGTCCGCCCCGGGTCGCAGCAGCCCGCCCCGGCTGAGACCCTCTGTGCCTCCCGCCACACTCACGCAGCTTGGCCTGAATGGAAGGTGCGCGCGTCACCATGTACGGTCCCCGCTTCTCCACTGCCGCGCTGCGCTCCCCGGGCCGGAGAGCTGGGTGGGCGCTCCTCCCGGAGGGCAGCCCCGCAGCTCCTGCCGCGCCCTCGGGGGCCGCGCCAGGCCGGGGGCCAGGGGTGGACGTCCGCACCGCGTGGCCGAGGAACTCTCCGGTCGCCATGGCCGGCCCCGCCCTGCCGGGTGCCGGGCCCGCCCGGGACAAACATACGGCCAGGCGCCGCGCGCGCTCCGGCAGTAAGATGGCGGTACGCAGGCGCGGGGCTCTCTCCTAGTCTTCCCCCGCCTCCCGCGGCAGGGTCAGCACCACAGTTCCGCCCGGTCAAGCCAGGTCTTGCTTTTCAGATCCACTGAAACCTCAACTCCATCTAAGCCTGGTGATGTCGAAGCCGTCAGATGTATAGCTAGTAGTGAAGTCAAATGACATTTATGGGTTGCAGGTGTTTGCCCACTCAAGCGCTCTGTGCCTCGACGGTTTACCATTTTACCACAGCCTGACATCCTGGAGGGGAGGGGGGACTCAGGAGGGCTCGGGAGAACTGAAGAGACATCAGCACTCTTCTCCAGAAAAGGAAGAAGCCGAGAGGATGAAGGCTCTAGCAGTGATACGACTCCAGCCTGGGCTGTGGCACCCTTTCCAAACACCATATTTATTCTAACAACAGCCCGCCCTCTTTAGGCATGTTTCCATTTTAAAATACAACCTTGGAGCTGGAAGTGTAGCTCAGTGCTAAAGTGCTTGCCTGACATGCACAAGACCTCGGGTTTGATCCCCAACACAACAAAAGATAAACGGAAAGTCAGCCATGCTAGCGTGGCACTGTAATCCCAGCACTTGAGAGGTGGAAGGCTAAAGGAGTTAGAAAGCAGCCTTGGCTACACAAGACAACAAACCAGAATGTCCTCTATCTATTCTACAGTAACAAAAATAAACTGGCTGCTAGAAAGCAGGGTGAAAGTGCACTCTCGAGTCTGTGTGTGGTAGGGTCCAGGGCTGTCAAGACTCTTGACTTTTCTGGCCCCCAGGGATGTGCTTGTGTCTGGCTGGAAATAAGCTCCAGATCCTTGTAGAAACTGCCAAAAGTTATGAGGCTTTTCCACGGCTAAAATGTCTTTACAGGGTATGTCAATATTGTCCAGGCTGAACCCCAGGGACAAACAAAAAATGGATAGGACAAAAGAATTTGGGGCTATAGTGTTTAAAAATCAAACGAAAGAAACCATTATTTTGATGGATTCACCCCAGCATAATCTGTTGAAGTAGTTTTTTTTAAATCATTTTTATTTTATGTGTGTGTATTGCCTGCATGTAGGTAAGTGCACCTGCGTCATGCAATGCCTGCAGAGGTCAGAAGCTGTCGGATCCCCTGGGATTGGAGGTACAGACAATTGTTAGCTGCCATGTGGGTGCTGGGATTCGAACCTGGGTCTTCTGCAAGAACAACCAGTGTTCTTAACCGCTGAGCCATCTCTCCAGCCCGTTTTTTTTTTAATTTAAAAAATTTTGTGTTTGAGTGTTATGCCTGCATGTATACAAGTTGCACCCATATGCAATGCCCCGGCAGGACAGAAGAGGGCATCCGATCCCCTGGAACTGGAGTTAGAGACGGTTTTTAGCTGCCCTGTGGGTGCTGGGATTCAAACCAACCCCGCGCCGCCACCCCCTCGCCAGCTTTTTTTTTTTTTTTTTTTTTTTTTTTTTTGTTTTGAGATAAAACCTTACTATGTAGCTCTGGCTGGCCTAGAACTTATTACGTAGACCAGGCTGGACTTTGAATTCAGGGGTATCTGCCTACCTCTGCCTCTGAGTGCTGGGATTAAAAGTGTGTGCCACCACACCTGGCTATCCCCA